ACACTAAGACTGCGATATAATGTTTATGTAGCAATAATACATAACATATGTTTTTAAATGTCTCCTGTACCGATACAAAAGAGCGATAACGTTGGAGCTTAACGGGGTGTAGAACACATGTGATGACGTCACCAACGAATCGACGACTGAATTAGTTGCCAACTAATTTGGTAATCGATTTTAATCGATTAAGTCGATTAGTTGTTGCACCCCTATGCACCATAGAGAGCATCCTGACCTTCTACAGGTGCACCATAGAGAGGATCCTGACCTTCTACAGGTGCACCATAGAGAGGATCCTGACCTTCTACAGGTGCACCATAGAGAGCATCCTGACCTTCTACAGGTGCACCATAGAGAGGATCCTGACCTTCTACAGGTGCACCCTAGAGAGCATCCTGACTGGCTGCATCACGGCCTGATACGGCAGCTGCACCACCCTCAATCGTAAGGCTTTACAGAGGGTGGTGAAAACTGCACAGAACATCACCAGGACGGAGCTGCCATCCATGGAGGACCTTTACTCCCAGCGGCTCAGGAAGAAATCCCTCAGGATTATAAAAGACCCCCATCACCCCAGCCACAAACTGTTCAGTCTGCTGCCGTCTGGCAGGCGGTACCGCAGCATCAGGACTAAAACCACCAGACTCAGACAGTTTCATCCCACAGGCTATAAGACTGTTAAACACCTGAACTGTTGTAACAACATCCATAACATTCATCTGGCTGCTACTTAGAAATTATTTATCTATTTACCCAATATCATATTCCAATAACTTGCATATAGACTCTTATTGCACTATTTCACTTTTTTTAAACTATTTTTCTTTTTGTATTTACTATTTACTTGCACTATATTTGTATGTTTATCTATGTTTTGTGTTGCTCTGTTGGAGAAGTCTGTGACCTAAGATTTTCATCGGCATAACTACACTGTAGCTGTGTTCGTATGACTAAATAAAGAACCTTGAGTTCATGTAGTGATTTAATAGTTATGACCTAGTAGCAGTGTTTGTGTATTTGAAACAGTGTTGAAGTTAAATATATGTGGCAAAAAGTAAGAACTGATTTTTAATAGCTAGAACTGAATGCCTATCTAAAAAAGAGTTTCAGGGCCACTGACCTCATCTCACTTATAATATTCAATTAAAATACAGATCCAAAATACAATAATTATTATTTTTGTGCAATTATTGTACTGAAGTAGAACAATTCAAATTATGCTATTCAAATCAGTTTCTAGGGACACACATTTCTGCTATTACACTTCTTCAGTTATAATCTAACGAGACAGTTACTGTACTTACTGTAAAAAGCACAAAGTACTTTTGGTTGTTCTCCCCAACACAATTATTGACCCAGGGGCAATGGTGGTCCATCTTACGTATGCAGCGTTTGCAAACACTGGGAGAGAGACAGCAAGTTAGGAAATAAAGAAAAGAGAGAAATTAAACATTTTATCGAATACAACCACTGCAAGGACACAATTAGTGGATGTGAAGAACTACATTCTGAGTTCCTATTTTACAAATGTACCAAATTCAGAAATTTATTCAGCATCACAAAGATGCAGCTGTAAGCATGTGACTGGGTAAGTGAACGCTTCACACGGCAGCCCTCTCTGTCCTACCTGCAGTGGTGAGCTCGGTCAGGCTTGATGCTGCAGCACTTGGGACATTTGTAGACCACCTGCCCTGGTTTCAGCTGAAGGCTTTCTATGTATTCCTTAGTAGCATTCCCTTTTGGCACTGCACCCTAGCACGAAACAGGAGCACACAGTAGAGGACTTCAGCAGCTTCATCATCATAATGAAATAAAGAAGGGACAGGCTAAACATTCCCTGATAACTCTTTGAAAGTAAAGCTCCATTTATCAGGACTGTGCCCTAAACTTGCATGCAAGAAACGTTCCTTTAAACCTTGCTAGCCTGTAAACTAATTCTTAATTAATGTGAATAATTTCTATATCACCAAATAAGTGCCACTCACAGGGTCGGTGCACATGGCCCTGAGGTGTGAAGCGAGGGCAAGGAAGGCCAGAATGTTGAACAGAGTCCCGTTCACAATGCTGTACGTCAGATTCTTGGAGGGCAGCAGCATCACAAACAGCACCACGAACTCTGCATACAGCACCAGCATCCAGGTGATGATGGCGCACACGATGCCGCAGGCGTCCCTGATGAACCACATGGCAGAGGCAGCGGAGGATGTGATGACGTCTTTGGAGATGGGGATGCGCTGCTCGGCCTGCAGGCAGGTGGTCCCAGCCCCCCCCGTGCCCTGCCCACGGCCGTGCTCCACATCCCTGCATCTGTGCACCGGGCTCTTCATCAAGCCAGATGCCTGCTGCTGCTGCTGCTGCTGCTGCTGCTGCTGCTGCTGCTGCTGCTGCTTCCAGATCCACTGAGTCTGGAGGCCTCAGTCACCGCATGCTGAGGAGAGAATAAGAGAAGAGAGGAGAGTTACGTGGCAAGAGAAAGCTTTGGTTCTCTAGAGAAGCTTTTGCCAACAGATGGGACTAAACATAAACCACGCCAGAAAAATACTCTAGGGAGTTTTCTCAGCATTTAACTCTGGAAATGGGCAACTCCACCAGAAAGACTACTTAATTGACCCCACAAGGCATTACTGGAACGCCTTCACAAGAAAACCACTAACAGTTAATCTCCATGCCTACACCGACTACCTACAACAGTACAATAACGCACTCAAAGCAGCCCGGTCCAACTACTACTCACAACTTATACACTCCGGCTCCAGCAACCCCAAGGCTCTGTTCTCCACCATCAACACACTCCTTAAACCCTGTGAAAACGCCACCCCATCCTTCACAACCGCACAGTGCAATTCTTTCCTCTCATTCTTTCAAACCAAAATTGACAGCATTTATAGAAACCTGACCTCCTCAGCAGCCCTCCCCATCTCCCCTCCTGGCTCCCCCCCCTTGACCTCACAGCCCCTATACCGGTTCTCCCCTGTGACCCCCGTGCAACTGTCCACCCTCATGGCTGGAATGAACTCCACCTGCACTCTGGACCCATACCAACAACATTTGTCAGGGAATGCCTCCCTCCCATCTCCCAACTCATAATCACAATCATTAACTCCTCCCTCTGCTCTGGATCAGTCCCCCCCTCACTCAAACTGGCTGCTGTTACACCATTACTGAAAAAACCTGGACTCACACCTGACATCATGTCCAACTTCCGGCCCATCTCGAATCTCCCCTTCCTGTCAAAACTACTCAAACGTGTTGCCTCCCAACTGAAATCCCACCTCAGCTCCAACAACCTGTTTGAACCCTTTCAATCAGGATTCCGCACAAAACATAGCACAGAAACAGCCCTCCTCAGAATCACTAACGACCTCCTCCTCTCCTCAGACTCCGGCAATCTCAGCATCCTCATCCTCCTCGACCTCACAGCAGCGTACGACACCATCAACCACACCATCCTGCTGTCCCGTCTGGAATCATCACTCAACATCACCGACACTGCACTCTCCTGGCTGAAATCCTACCTCACCGACAGACATCAGTTTATCCACATAAATAACTGCACTTCCTCCACTGCCCCTCTGTCCCAAGGCGTCCCCCAGGGTTCGGTGCTTGGTCCTCTCCTTTTCATGCTCTATCCTTGGAAAAATCATCCGCCGCCACAAC